AGGTTATGTGGAGCAGCTGCACCGTGAGGTAGCTTGCTAGCCTTAAACAGTCCAGCGTTGCCGTTCGTGATGAATAGATTCGAGTTTTACTCATGATGAGATTAATTCCTAATCAGATGGCGTACCTGAGGGAGCGCAACGAAGACGGACTGCTACGCGAAGCCGGCATCGGCATCAAGAGCGTTGTCATCACGAACGGCGGAACCGCCGCCGGCGCACAGGAGGCCGGTGCTGCCAGCGACGCAAGCGGCGCCGACGTCGACGCTGGCGCAGAGCAGGCCGAAACGATGGGACGAGGCATGTTCGCGCTGCGCGACTTCAAGGCTGGCGACGTCATCCTGGAGGAGAGCCCACTGGCCTTTGCCCCACGCGACGTACTCTTCTCTCTTTCTCTCTTTCTTTCTTTGCTGACCAAGTGCGTGGTGGCCCAGATGCTGCACTGCTCCCAATGCCTACGGAAGCTCGCGGCCTCTACGGCCGCCGTCACGTGCCCACACTGCCGGCTGGACCCCTATTGCAGCGACAGGTGCTCAGCGTGGCGGCGTGTGCGGCGATGGTGCGTAGGCTGACCTGAAGGCGCAAATAGGTGCGCAGCAGAGGCCTGGGAGAGTCATCATCGATTGCTCTGCGAGGCGGCCCAAGCGGACCCCGAAACCACGGGGCAGGCCCTTCGGGACTTCAACGCCCTGTGCCGCGAACAGGCCCGTGCCTACCCGCTCCTGATCGCACGGTAGACTCTTGCTCTTCTTTCTCCCGCCACAAACGCCTATTCTAACATTGTGTCATGTGTGTGTCGTGTGTGTCGTTTGTGTCGTTTGTGTCGTGTTGGTCGTGTGTGTCGTGTGTGTAGACTGATCGCACAGCTCTCGACGGTAAGTGCTTGATCCGCTCCCTCGTGCGCTCTGCACACATGTATGACTCAACCTCGGTTTGGAATGGAGCAGGACGTAGCCAAGCTGGGTGCCGACGTGTCTCTGGAGGAGGCCCTGGATCGACCCAATGGCCTCTTCTCCCACCTCAGGTGCAATGCAACGCAACGCAGCGTGACGCACGTCAAACATTCCACAACTTAACACCGTCCTTGTGGACTGGCGCACAGACACTTCTGTTCAGCTGACATCGAGCCCCAGGGCTTCCCACCCGAGTTTTCGATGCTGGACTACATCTTCGGCCAAACCAACCTAGCCTCTCATATCCTTTCCACTTGTGCAGCAGTGCGTGTGCGTGTGCGTGTGCGTGTGCTCGTCAGACCATATGCTTCCTTGACCCACGATGCGTACTGGTGGACGAACACTTTTGCTTCTGGCTGTTCACCATCCTCATGCGGGTACAGCCGGTTCAGTGTGTTTTGGATCGACTCAGAGCCAAGACATCTAACAATTCCTTCCGCCCCCCCAAAGAACACGTTTGGGCTGTGGATCGTGGAGGAGGGCGAGGCCGAGGGGGTGTACACGGATCGGCGCGAGGACGGCGTCGCGCTCTTCCTCCACGCCAGCTACTTCAACCACTCCTGCACGTACGTGTCGCCGTACCCTGTCAACATTGTGTGAGTCGTGTGTGTGTGGTCTTACTCCCCGCCCCAAAGACCGAATGTGGACCGATGCAACAGGCATGGAGACAAGCGCGTGGCCTTCATCGCGTGCGCCGACATCAAGAAAGGTAGGAAACAACGACGGGTGATGACACGCGCGTGTGCGCACACGTCGCGCCACACACGTGCTAAAGCACCGCCGTGGCGGTGGCGCAGGAGAGCAATTGTTCATCGAGTACGTGGACACGCGAGCGCCGGTGGACGAACGACGACAGGAGCTGGCGCAGCGGTACGGCTTCCTCTGTTCCTGCCCCAAATGTTCAGTCGAAGCCACAGCAGAAGGCACCACCACCACACAATGATGAATAGAAACGTTTAATATTAACTTTATTTATCGTTATTTATTTCTTATTTACGGCTTTGTATTTCTTTTCGCTCTATTTCCTCTTTTTCTTTTGGTCCTTTCTTGGATTTCGGCCGAGGGGGAGACGCTGGAAATGTCAAGGAAGGACCCTGGCTTGTTCCTTGGCTTCCGATCGAGCTTGGTGTCACATGCCCCGAGACACAACAGCGTGCCGGCGTGATCTGGCCCGCGCCGCCGTGACCACAGGTCGATCGCTCGGGGGCTTATGTCAAGAGGGCTTCTCTCTCTCACCTTGTCCCGCTTGTCAGCGGGTGGACCACCCGCGACCCGTCAGCCTTCTCCGCCTTTTAGGCCAAAGCAGCAAGGTGTGCCCCACTTCTCCCTCAAAACAACACTCTTCGGAGAGAGATCTTTTGTGCCCATTGACATCTTTAACCTTCATCAACGCAACACCGCCACAAGCGCTTGCCTCCTTCTTGAAACAACACCTTGGCCAATTTAGTACCTCGTCTCGACCCTCTTGCCCAGCTTGGCTCACCTTTTTATTTGCTTGGGCGGTGCTGCATCTGTGTAAAGGGCTTCAGACTCACCGCGCGCGGACCGCGTACTGCAGATCGCACGACACCCATGAATGCACCCGTCAGGAACAGGTGCCCCAACTGCAGGTACTTCTTCTTCTCGTTCTTCTTCTTCTACGTTTTCTTCTACACGCTGGTCAGAGAGGGCTGACCTGGGGCTGGCCAAGGTGGTCCAATGACGCGAGCGCCCAGTACTGCATGCAGTGCGCCGGGGAGCTGCCGCCACCGCCGCTGCCCCACCGGCCCGAGGCGCCCAGCGCGCCGGTCGATGAGTTCAGCGACGAGGACCTCGAGTCCGATGACGCCAAGACCCACACCGAGGCCTCCCTCAGCGACGAAGTCGTCTGTCCCACCTGCGGGTACGCCTTTTATTTATTTATGAATTTATAAATTTATCTTTTATCTATTTGCAATAATTATGCCATTTTATTTAATTCGCCGAGTCTGCGGAATGTGGGCATTCACAAACAATGCACGACACGCACCCCACGCGCACAACGCACGCGCACGGCAGGTACTGCAATGATGCGGTGACGAACTACTGCGTGGAGTGCGGGCGGCCATTGGGAGCCACCCGCAGCCGGGCGAGCAGCGTGAGCGGCTCGCCGACCGCCTCGCGAGCCGAACCGCCGTCAATGGCCACCAAGACCATCAAGGCCACCACCTCCCCCGCGACCACCACCACTTCGGCCGCGGGCGCCCGCGGCGGCGCTGCGACGGAGGAGACCAAGTTGCCGCCCCTGGCCTCGCGGGCTCGCTTCCTGAAGTGGATCGTCATCGCCACGCTAGTGCTCAACGTCGCCCTCTTCCTCGGTATTCCCTCCCCGCGTCCTGGTGCGAGCCAGTTCACTGAAATGCTGACGTGTGCATTGGTCATACAGTGTGGCTGTTCACCACGGACCACGGGCTGCCCTGGTTCATCTATCCACTCGCCGTTTCCGTCATCCTCTGCGGCTCTCTCTATCTGGTGCCCCTTCTATTCGTTGTTGTTGTTGTTGGTTGTTGTTGTGTTGTTGTTGTTGTTGTTGTTGTTGTTGTTGTTGTTGTTGTTGTTGTTTGAGCTAACTCGGTACACATCACCAGGCGTCGCACAACGTGGAGAAGCCCTGGCTCCAGCTCCACTTACTCGTTTCGGCCACCATCAACTTCACCATCATCTTCACGTACGTACGCCTTTCTTCTTCATCAGTGCCACATGTCCACATCTGATTTAAGTATGTGTGTGATGTGTGCAATGTGTGCGATGTGTGCGGTGTGTGCGTAGGTATGTGTTCAAGTTCGACCGGCAGCCCTACTTTGCCTACGTGCTGCTGCCCTCGGCGGGCCTGCTGTGCCTCCACCTCCTGCTCACCGACCACTGGGGCGTCATGCCGCGGCCCCACAAGTACTTCTACGTGCACCTCGTCTCCATCTACGTGCCGCTCAACCTGGTCCTCTTCACCGCGTTCCTCACCACCACGCCCGGCGAGGCCTGGTTCGTCTTCCCGCTGCTCCTCACCTCCGTACCGCTCATGGCCCACTACATCATCGCCTTCCACCCGGACGACCCGCACAAGTGGTTCTACGTCGACCTCGCCACCGTCAGCACTCTGGCCGGCCTCTTCTTCCTCCTCTGGTACACACACACGACACGCACGACACACACACGACACGACACGACAAGAGACACACGTTGATGAGCGGTGTGTGGGCGTAGGGCGGTGACGCCGACGGACCACCCGTGGTTCGTGTACTTGTGGGTGGCGGGCGGGGTGGTGATCGCGGGCCACTACGTGTTCGAGTACCAGCCGAAGGTCCTGCAGCGGGGCGCGGCGGGCGGGCTGGGCCTGCTCCAGGGCGCCTGGGCCAAGGCCCACGAGCTCCGCATGCCGTCGTGGCGCAAGGAAGCCGACAAGGCTCCGCCTGGTGCGCCGCCCTCTGCTCAGTTTTGCCGCCTTTGGCTTCTGCTGACGTCATCACCATCGTTGTCATCATTGATTGACGTTGAGTCGTGGCAGTGGTCACGCCCGAGGTGGGGTCGTCACAGCCCACGCCCGGCTCTCAGGTGTAAATGGCATACATGTAAGACCGCACAGCGCACGACTGCACACGACCCAATGTTATGGCCATTGTTTCAAGAAACAATGTATGTGAATAGAAGAAGAGAAATCGTATGTACACAACTGAATGATGGCTGAGGGACTCTATTCGTGCATGCCGTTGTCCTCGGCGTCGTCTGTGTATCGCTGTTGCAGCACTGGCAGGTTTGGTACTTTGGCGATCAGAG